TCTCCCAGGAACCCCTGCAGCATTCATCTGCCTGAACCATGTATATTGTACCACATGGAATTCTGGGAATTGTAGTTATTTGGGTTTCGGGTGCGTGGGTAGGAGGGGTCCCTAACTACCCTCTCCCCGCAGGTCTGAAAGAAAGTCCTGTGATTCCCCTGGTAGAAAGTGAGCTCCTGGCTGACATCCTTGAGGAGGTGAGGAAGGCCATTGGAGTCACCTTCCCCCAAGACAAACACTGATGTATCTCTGAATAAATAAAAACGTCATTCCTATAGAGATCTTACATCTTCATGGTAGTGGTTTGGCAGAAGCTGGAGAACCCAGTATCAAAGGGTCACTAGAAAATCATTTGGGCGGGGCCAGGTATGGCAGCTCACACCTGTAATCCCAGCACTTTGGGAGGCCGAGGAGGGCGGATCACCTGAGGTCAGGAGTTTGAGACCAGCCTGACCAACATGGTGAAACCCCCATCTCTAATAAAAATACAAAATTAGCCGGGCATAGTGGTGCATGCCTGTAATCCCAGCTACTCAGGAGGCTGAGGCAGGAGAATCACTTGAACCCGGGAGTCAGAGCTTGCAGTGAGCTGAGATGGTGCCACTCTACTCCAGCCTGGAGACAGAGCAAGACTCCCTCAAACAAAAACAAAAACAAAACCAAAAACAAAGAGTTGGCCGGTCACAGTGGCTCACGCCTGTAATCCCAGCACTTTGGGAGGCGGGCAGGTGGATCACGAGGTTAGGAGATCGAGACCATCCTGGCTAACATGGTGAAATCCCCTTTCTACTGAAAATACAAAAAATTAGCCGGGCATGGTGTTGGGCGCCTGTAGTCCCAGCTACTCGGGAGGCTGAGGCAGGAGAATGGTGTGAACTCGGGAGGCAGAGTTTGCAGTGAGCTGAGATCGTGCCACTGCACTCCAGCCTGGGCAACAGAGTGGGACTCCATCTCACACAAAAAAAGTTTTAGTCAGTCACGGTGATGCATGTCTGTAGTCCCAACAGTGTAAGAAGCTGAGGCAGGTGGATCACTTGAGCCCAGGGGTTTGAGACCAGCCTGGGCAACATGGCAAAATCCTCTCTCTGCGTAAAATACAAAATTAGCAGTGCGTGGTGGTGCACACGTGTAGTCCCAGCTACTCCAGAGGCTGAGGTGGGAGGATCCCTTGAGCCCAGGAGGTCAAGGCTGCAGTGAGCCACAGTTGTGTCATTGCACTCCAGCCTGGACGATAGAGGGAGACCCTGTCTCAAAATAAATAAAAAATAAAAATAAAAACAAACAGTTTTGACTTCACAGCTAGCTAAAAAGTGTATTCCCTCACTCAGTGATTGTACTGTTCAGAGGCGTGTAGCTGCATTAAAAGCCCTTTCTTGGGCCGGGCGCGGTGGCTCACACTTGTAATCCCAGCACTTTGGGAGGCCGAGGCGGGCAGATCACGAAGTCAGGAGATCGAGACCATCCTGGCTAACATGGTGAAACCCCGTCTCTACTAAAAATACAAAAAATTAGCCGGGCGTGGTGGCGGGCGCCTGTAGTCCCAGCTACTCGGAGACTGAGGCAGGAGAATGGTGTGAACCCGGGAAGCGGAGCTTGCAGTGAGCCAAGATCGCGCCACTGCACTCCAGCCTGGGCAACAAAGCGAGACTCCGTCTCAAAAAAAAAAAAAGCCCTTTCTTTCCTTCTCTGTAACTGGGGTCAAGGGAGGGCTATCTCACTGGACTGGGGTAACACACACAGATAAAGCTGGCCGCCAGGTTAACAGGAAACACTATGTATCTCAAGGATACGCTTTGTTTGTTTTTTTTGAGATGAAGTCTTACTCTGTCATCCAAGGTGGAGTGCAGTGGCATGATCTCTGCTCACTGCAGCCTCTGCCTTCTGGGTTCAAGTGATTCTCTTGCCTCAGTTCCCTGAGTAGCTAGGATTACAGAAGCGCACCACTACGCCTGGCTAATTTTTGTATTTTTAGTAGAGACAAGGTTTAGTTGGCCAGGCTGGTCTCGAACTCCTGACCTCAGGTGATCTGCCCATCTTGGCCTCCCAAAGGGCTGGAATTACAGGTATGAGCCACCATGCTGGCCGAGGACATGGTTTTTTTAACCCATGGAGAGACTTTGTTCTCTAAATTCATAAATTGTTGGGAATTCTATCAGTAAAAATGAAACATCTGACTCTTGCTTGGAGGATGGAATCCACTTGATACAGAGTAGCAGCCTTGATTTCCAAAGCAGGTGCAGCACTTCAGATAAAGGGTTTCTGGATGCAACATTACACATGTACCTTCTTGTTTCCAACGATTCGGGACACTGGTTTCACTTGACAGTCCTGACCCGATGTTGACCTTGCTTTGCTCTAAGCTATCATTTGGTTGTCACCTAAACTCTACCCTCCCCCTTTATCTTGCCTTTTTCTTTTCTTTTTTCTTTTTGAGACAGGCTCTTACTCTGTCACCCAGTCTGACTGCAGTGGTGCAATTGATCACAGCTCACTGCAGCCAGGACCTCCCAAGCTCAAACAATCTTCCCACCTCAGCCTCCCAAGTAGCTGGGACTACAGGCATGCATCTTTTTTTGTTGTTGTTGAGATAGAGGCTCGATCTGCTGCCTAGGCTGGGGTGCAGTGGCACGATCTTGGCTCACTGCAACCTCTGCCTCTCGGGTTCAAATGATTCTCCTGCCTCAGCCTCCCAAGCAGCTGGGACTACAGGCGCGCACCACCACTCCCAACTAATTTTTTTTTGTATTTTTAGTGGAGACGGTTTCGCCATGTTGGCCAGGCTGGTCACAAACTCCTGACCTCAGATGATACACCCACCTCGGCCTCCCAAAGTACTGGGATTATGGGTGTGAGCTACCACGCCCGGCCCCCTCCCACCTTTCTTTTTTTTGTTTTAGTTGACACAGGGTCTCACCATGGTATAGCCCAGGCTGGTCCTGAACTCCTGGCTTCAAGTGATCCTCCTGCCTTGGCCTCCCAAAGTGCTGGGACTATAGGAATGAGCCATGACACCTGGCCCCTTTCTTCAGTTTTCAAATCAAAATGATCCTTCAAGGTCAAGGGGAAATACCTCCTCTGAGAAGTCTTCTCTGAATGTCAGAGTCAGACAATGTCTTCTTTCTTTCTTTTTTTTTTTTTTTTGAGATGGAGTCTTGCTCTGTCACCCAGGCTGGAGTGCAGTGGCCTGATCTTGGCTCACTGCAAGCTCTGCTTCCCGGGTTCACGCCATTCTCCTGCCTCAGCCTCCTGAGTAGCTGGGACTACAGGTGCTCACCACTCACGCCCGGCTACTTTCTTTTTGTATTTTTAGTAGAGACGGGGTTTCACCGTGTTAGCCAGGATGGTCTCGATCTCCTGACCTCGTGATCCGCCCTCCTCGGCCTCCCAAAGTGCTGGGATTACAGGCGTGAGCCACCGCGCCTGGCTGACAATGTCTTATTTCTGTATGCTCCCCAACATTCAATCACGCAGTTATTGAATAACATATTTTGAGAGAGAACTATAAATCAAGTAACATGCTGCTTTCTGGGAGAACTGAGGACAAATTAACCTTGTGGACATTTTGGGTGGATGAAAAAGGCCAACATTAAATTAAAACACTGCATACATTTACAGCTATGAGAAGCGTTATAAATCCTGGGTGCTATGGGAGTTTTTTTGTTTGTTTGTTTGTTTTTGAGTTAGAGTTTCCCTCTTGTTACTGAGGCTGGAGTGGAAGGTCATGATCTTGGCTCACTGCAACCTCTGCCTCCAGATTCGGACGATTCCCCTGCCTCAGTTCCCGAGTAACTGGGACTACAGGTGCCTGCCACCACACCTGGCTAACTTTTGAATTTTTAGTAGAGATGGGGTTTCACCATGTTGGCCAGGTTGGTCTCAAACTCTTGACCTCAGGTGATCCACCCATCTCGGCCTCCCAAAGTGGTGGGATTACAGAAGTGAGCCACTGCACCCAACCAGGAGCTCTTTTGAGAAAGAAGGAAGTCCAAGAGATCTTCCTGACACCCTAGTCTGACTCTGCCCTTTGCCTGCTCAAAACTTTCCCATGGTTCCCAGCTGCCTTCTGGACATAGATCAAGTCCCTTCTCTGATAGGCCCAACCCCTTTATCATCTGATCCTAGCTCATTTTTCTGAGTTTTCCTTAGTTGTTATTATTTTCTTTCTAAAGTGACACGTCGTAATATTCACAAAGCACACAAGTCTTATGTGTACAGCTCAATGAATTGTAAATATGTGTATACCTGGCCAGGCACAGTGACTCACGCCCGTAATCCCAGAACTCTGGGAGACCGAGGCGGGTGGATCACTTGAGGTCAGGAGCTTGAGACCAGCCTGACCAACTTGGTGAAACCCTATCTCTACTAAAAATACAAAATTAGCTGGGCGTGGTGGCTCATGCCTGCAATCCCAGCTACTTGGGAGGCTGAGGCAGGAGAATCGTTTGAACCCGGGAGGCAGGGGTTGCAGTGAGCCGAGATCGTGCCATTGCACTCCATCCTGGGCAACAAGAGTGAAACTCCATCTCAAAATAATAATAAGTGTATACCCATGCAAACACCATTCAGATAAAAATATGGCATATTTGGGGCACCCGGGGAGTCTCTCTTGTGGCCCCTCCCTTCCATACCCTGCTGATCTATCAGCACAGATTAGTTTTTCTCACTTTTTGAACTTCATATTCCTTTTCTTTTTATACAAACACAAACACTTGAGTCATGACTGGGTGGGGTGGCTGAAGCCTGTAATCTCAGCACTTTGGGAGGCCAAGATGCGAGGATCGCTTGAGCCTGGGATTTCAGAGACCAGCCTGAGCAACATAGAGAGACCCCATCTCCACAAAAAAATTTTAAAAAATCAACCAGGGGCGGTGTAGTCCCAGCTACTTAGTAGGCTGGGGCTGGAGGCTTGAGCCCGGGAATTCCAGGCTGCAGTGAGCCATGATTGGGCCACTGCACTCCAGCCTGGGCAACACAGCCAGATCCTGACTCGAAACAAACAAACATACAAACAGAAAACAGGACTGGCGCGGTAGCTCATGCCTGTAATCCCAGCGCTTTGGAAGGCTGAGACGGCGGTATCTCTTGAGCTCACAAGTTAAGAGACAAGCCTGGGCGTGGGCTATATAGCGAGATCCAGGTCTCTACCAAAAACAAAACCACTCAGTTTTTAGTCATCTACAACGTCCTGCCTGGAAGCACGCTATTTTGGGTCTCTGAGCCTTTGCACTTGCTATTCCTTCTGCGCTGGGGAGAGCTCAAACCCTGCCCGAAACTTCCAAAAATGGTGCCTGGATAAATGAAGGCATCAGATTTGCGATTGGACGGGTGTCTGTTGGATGGCGCCACGGCTGGCACTTATTGGGAGATGCTCATTGGACAGTCACGTGACGGGACTAAGTCTCCCGAGGGAGCAAGGCAGGTGCGATCACGTGACCAGGCGGCGCTGCGGGGCAGCGGCCATTTTGCGGGGCGGCCACGTGAGGGACGCACGTTCTTGGGGCTCTCACGTGACCCGGGGCGCGCTGCGGCCGCCCGCGCGGACCCGGCGAGAGGCGGCGGCGGGAGCGGCGGTGATGGACGGGTCCGGGGAGCAGCCCAGAGGCGGGGGTGAGGCGGGAGGCAGACGGGCGGGAGGAGGGCGAGCCCCCTCCCCGGCGGGTCCCAGGATCCTTCCTCTCGGCCTGGGGCTGTGCGATCTCCAAGCACTGAGGGGCAGAAACTCCCGGATCGGGCGCTGCCAGACTCCAGCCCCCTCCGTCCTCGGAGGTTCCTGGCTCTCTGATCCCCGTACCCCGATCCCTACCTGTCTGGCGCTCTCGGACCCCCGAGAACTAGGGGATCTCGGAAGCTAAGCCCCCGGGCAGGCCCGGGCTTGTCGCCCGCACCACTTCCTGCCTCTGGCACTGGTGGGAGGGGCGGGTCTCGCCTCTGCCCCCTCAGGCCAGGGGTCCGGATGCATTTAGTGTTCCGCTACCCTCTTTCCCCAGGGAGAATGTAGGCTACAGGCCCAGACTCCTGGCCTTTCTCCATCAGGGACTCAGTTGTCTGGGCCCCCCCGTCACTTTATCTGCTAGGGTCCCAGAAGTCCAGGGTCCCCAGCTCTGTCCTCCCTCAGGGACTGTGAGCCTCCACAGCCTCCTGATCCCCTAGAACCCAAGAGTCCAGGCACCTCTTCCTTTCTCCTCTAGGGCCCACCAGCTCTGAGCAGATCATGAAGACAGGGGCCCTTTTGCTTCAGGGGTGAGTTTGAGGTCTGATTATTGTGGCACAGATTTGAGGAGTGACACCCCGTTCTGATTCTGCACCCTCACTCCATCCCCACTCTAGTTTCATCCAGGATCGAGCAGGGCGAATGGGGGGGGAGACACCCGAGCTGGCCCTGGACCCGGTGCCTCAGGATGCGTCCACCAAGAGGCTGAGCGAGTGTCTCAAGCGCATCGGGGACGAACTGGACAGTAACATGGAGCTGCAGAGGTGTGGGCCCCGGGACCCAGAAATCCAGCCACTGGGCTTCCTGAGAACACAGGAGCCTCAGCCCCACATTCTCCTCTTCCCCTAAGAACTAGAAGTCTGGGTCCTACAACTCAGCACAGGCGTTCTGGACTCCCAGCCGTCCCCTCCGCCAGGATCTTAAAACCCTCCTTCAGGGAGTCATTTTTCCCACCTTCCTCGATGTCTGTCTTGTCCCCTTCCCTTGCCCCCCGTTGGCCTGTTGTTTTTCATTTCAGGCTGGCTTGGGCCTCAGTCTCCTCATCTTTAGTGTGCGGTGGATGTGGGGATTTCCACCATCAGCCTGATGCTCGCTCCCCGGCACTGGTTCTCCTCCCTCCTGCAGGATGATTGCCGCCGTGGACACAGACTCCCCCCGAGAGGTCTTTTTCCGAGTGGCAGCTGACATGTTTTCTGACGGCAACTTCAACTGGGGCCGTGTTGTCGCCCTTTTCTACTTTGCCAGCAAACTGGTGCTTAAGGTGGGCAGCTGCAGGGCAGTGAGCCCAGGGGTGCTCCCCTCAGACCTGTGAGGACCTGGGGATCGTGGGATCAACCCCCTGCAGTGGCCCAGTGACCACAGAGGGCATGGAGAGAGATGGCTGTGCACTGGGTGTCTGCTTCTTTTATTCATTCAACAAGCATTTACTGGGCCTGCTGTGTGCCAGGCCTGTACCTGGCACCTGGGACACAGCACCGTACAAAGCAGGCTGCATCCCTGCTCTCAGGGACTTCACGTACAGGGGTGAAGTAAAGGGGGCAGTGTGATTTAGCAGAGTGGTCAGGAAAGACTTTTTTTTTTTTTTTTGAGACGGAGTCTCGCTCTGTGGCCCAGGCTGGAGTGCAGTGGCCGGATCTCAGCTCACTGCAAGCTCCGCCTCCCAGGTTCCCGCCATTCTCCTGCCTCAGCCTCCCGAGTAGCTGGGACTACAGGCGCCCGCCACCACGCCCGGCTAGATTTTTGTATTTTTTAGTAGAGACGGGGTTTCACCGTGTTAGCCAGGATGGTCTCGATCTCCTGACCTCGTGATCCGCCCATCTCGGCCTCCCAAAGTGCTGGGAGTACAGGCTTGAACCACCGGTCCGGCCTTTTTTTTTTTTTTTGAGACAGTCTTGCTCTGTCGCCCAGGCTGGAGTGGAGTGGTGGGATCTTGGCTCACTGCAAGCTCCGCCTCCTGGGTTCACGCCATTCTCCTGCCTCAGCCTCCTGAGTAGCTGGGACTACAGGAGCCCGCCACCGCCCAGCTAATTTTTTTTTTTTTTGTATTTTTAGTAGAGACAGGGTTTCACCGTGTTAGCCTGGATGGTCTTGATCTCCCAACCTTGTGATCCGCCCGCCTCGGCCTCCCAAAGTGCTGGAATTATGGGCGTGAGCCAGGGCGCCTGGCCTATTTTTTTTTTTTTTTTTTAAATGGAGTTTTGCTCTTGTTGCCCTGGCTGGAGTGCAATGGCACGATCTTGGCTCACTGCAACCTCCCGAAGTGCTGGGATTACAAGCATGAGCCACTGCAACCAGCCAGGGAAGACTTCTAAGAGCAGGTGACATTAAAGCCAAAGTTGGAACGACAAGAAGGATGCATTGATCTATAGTGATCGGGGGAAGAGGCATCCGGTAGAGGGAACAGCAAGTGCAAAGGCCCTGAGGTAGGACCAAGCCTCGCGTTTTGATGGTAGGGAGGAAGCCAGTGCTGTTGGAACAGAGTGAGCTGGGGGAGACAGTGGGAAAGGAGGGCACAGTTGGGCAGGGGCAGATTGTGTGGAGTTTTTTGGGCTGCTGGAAAGACTTGTTTTTTTTTGAGACAGAGTCTCGCTTTGTTGCCGAGGCTGGAGTGCAATGGCACCATCTCAGCTCACTGCAACCTCCACCTCACAGGTTCAAGTGATTCTCATGCTTTAGCCTTCCAAGTAGCTAGAATTACAGGCACGTACCACCATGCCTGGCTAGCTTTTGTATTTTTAGTACAGACGGGGTTTTGCTGTGTTGGCCAGGCTAGTCTCAAAACTCCTGGCCTCAAGTGAGCCGTCCACCTTGGTCTCCCAAAGTGCTGGGATTACAGGCGTGAGCCACCGCGCCCGGCCTGGAAAGACTTTAAATTTACTCTGAGTATGACGGGAGTGATTGGCTGGTTTTAAATACGGAAGCGATGTGACCTGATTTATAAATTTAAGGGATTATTCTAGGAAGTATAGATGCCCCTTGACTTGCAATGGTGTTACATCCTAGTAATCCCATCACAAATTGAAAAAACATAAGTTGAAAATACATTCAATGTCCTGATAAACCCATAGTAGGATCAAAATTGTAAGTCGACCCATCATAGGTTGGGGACTGTCTGTATAGCAAAATGTTCATTGTAGAATCTAGGTGGTGGTTATATGGCTGTTAACTGTGGAATTCTTTTCACTTTTCTTTATGAAGATTCTCATAAGGAAATACGATGGGGGAGGTGGTGAAATGATCCTGGCTGTTGGCCAAAAAGAGATCATGGGGTACAAAGGCTGAAGCAAGGAGGCTAGAGAGGTGGCACCTGTCATAGTCTTGCTGAAAGATGACAAGCCCAGGCCTGGGTGGTAGCAGCAGAGGTGGCGGGGGTGGATTTAAAGAGGTAGGGTCTTGCTCTGTTGCCCAGACTGGAGTGCAGTAGTGATCATAGCTCACTGCAGCCCCAAACTGCTAGGCTCAAGCAGTTCTCCCACCTCAGCCTCCAGAGTAGCCGGGACTACAGGAGCATGCCACCATGCCCCACTAACTGTGGCATTAGCCTTTTTCTGTAGAGATGGGGTCTCGCTATGTTGTCCAGGCTGGTCTCCAACAGGGAGGGATATTTCTTTTTGGAAGTTTTGTTTGTTTGTTTGTTTTGAGATAGAGTCTTGCTCTGTCACCAAGGCTGAAGTGCAGTGGCATGACTTTGGCTCACTGCAGTCTCCACCTCCTGGGTTCAAGCGATTCTCCTACCTCAGCCTCCTGAGACGCTGGGATTACAGGCGCTCCCCATCACACCAGCTAATGGGAGGGATATTTCTTTTCTTTTTTTTTTCTGAGATAGAGTCTTGCTCTGTTGCACCCAGGCTAGAGTACAATGGCGCAATCTCGGCTTACTGCAACCTCCACCTCCTGGGTTCAAGCGATTCTCCTGCCTCAGCCTCCAGAGTTGCTTGGGATTATAGGCGTCCGCTACCACACCTGGCTAATTTTTGCATTTTTAGTGGAGATGGGGTTTCACCATGTTGGCAGGCTGTTCTCGAACTCCTGACCTCAGGTGATCTGCCTGCCTCGGCCTCCCAGCGTGCTGGGATTACAGACGTGAGCCACCGTGCTCGGCCAAGAGGAATATTTCTTGATGTGTTTTCAAGATTGAGCTGATGGAGCTTGAACGTCGGAGCTGAGGGGAATAGTAGTGCAGGTGACGGTGGGGCCACCTACAGAGCGGAGATGACAGAATAGAAGTGGCCAGATAAAGGCTGAAGGAGAAGTCTTGGGAGTCGGGAGAGAAGGTCAGGGATCCATGGGCAGGAGCTAGTCTTCTCTGGCCGGACACGGTGGCTCACGCCTGTAATCCCAGCACTTTGGGAGGCTGAGGTGGGTGGATCACGAGGTCAGGAGATCGAGACCATCCTGGCTAACACGGTGAAACCCCGTCTCTACTAAAAATGCAAAAAATTAGGTGGGCATAGTGACGGGCGCCTGTAGTCCCAGCTACTCGGGAGGCTGAGGCAGGAGAATGGTGTGAACCCGGGAGGCGGAGCTTGCAGTGAGCCAAGATCCCGCCACTGCACTCCAGCCTGGGTGACAGAGTGAGACTCCATCTCAAAGAAAAAAAAAAAGAAAAAGAAAATTCCTCTCTGGGGAAGTGACATTTGCCCTGAACGCTGAAGGGTGAGAATTTGCTTGGTCGAGGCCTGTTTAGGCGGAAACAGGAGCACGTGAAGAGGTCCCGAGGCAGGAAGAATTTGATGGGAATTTTAAAAATTAAAAAAAAAAAAATGGGGCCAGGCGCGATGGTTCACATCAGCACGTTGGGAGGCTGAAGCACAGATCACCTAAGGTCAGGAGTCTGAGACCATCCTGACCAACATGGTGAAACCTGTCTGTACTAAAAATACAAAAAAAAATTAGCCCAGTGTGGTGGCAGATGCCTGTAATACCAGCTGCTTGGGAAGCTCAGACAGGAGAATAACTTAAATCCGGGAGGTGGAGGTTGCAATGAGCCGAGACTGCGCTATCGCACTCCAGCCTGGGCAACAAGATCAAAACTCCATCTCAAAAAAAAAAAAAAAAAAAAATTAGCCAGGCATGTTGGCAGGCACCTGTAATCCCAGCTCTTTGGGAGGCTGAGGCAGGAGAATTGCTTGAACCCGGAAGGCAGAGCTTTCAGTGAGCCGAGATTGCGCCACTGCACTGCATCCTGGGTGACAGAGCAAGACTCCATCTTAAAAAAAAAAAAATGGAAGCAGCTCAGTGAAGCACAAAACAGGAAGTGGAAAGGTGGAGTGAGGTCAGGCTAGAGCCTGCACACAGGGCTTGTGGGCTGCGTTGTGCCTTCAGGTCTTCATCCTGAGGGTACTGGGGAGCCACAGAAGGCTCAGGGATGGGGCAGTTGAAAGTAACATGATCTTGTTTACAATTTTATTTAATTAATTAATTTATTTTTTGAGACAAGACTCTTGCTCTATTGCCCAGGCTGCAGTGAAGTGGTGTGATCTGGGCTCACTGCAACCTTTGCCCACTGGGTTCAAGCGATTCACCTGCCTCAGCATCCCAAGGAGCTGGGATTACAGGTGCCTGCCACCACACCCAACTAATTTTTGTATTTATTTGTTTATTTTGAGATGGAGTTTTGCTCTTGTTGCCCAGGCTGGAGTGCAATGGCGCGACCTCGGCTCACCGCAACCTCTGCCTCCCGGGTTCAAGCAATTCTCCTGCCTCAGCCTCCCAAGTAACTGGGATTACAGGCATGCACCATCATGCCCGGCTAATTTTGTATTTTTAGTAGAGATGGGGTTACTCTGTGTTGGTCAGGCTGTTCTTGAACTCCCAACCTCAAGTGATCCACCTGCCTTGGCCTCCCAAAGAGCTGGGATTACAGGCATGAGCTGGCGCACCTGGCCATGTTTACAATTTTTGAAGCCGACTTCAATTGTGGGTGGCAGAAATCTTTGAGGGGAGGCAAAGAATTGAGAAAGGAGGCTTGGGGCCACTATCCCCAGGCATTGGGGACAAGGTTCGGTCCCTAACATCCACTCCACTCCCCACAGGCCCTGTGTACCAAGGTGCCCGAACTGATCAGAACCATCATGGGCTGGACACTGGACTTCCTCCGGGAGCGGCTGTTGGGCTGGATCCAAGACCAGGGTGGTTGGGTGAGACTCCTCAACCCTCCTCACCCCAACCACTGCCCCTGCCCCACTGTCCCTGCCCACCCTCCACTCCTCTGGGACCCTGGGCCTTCTGGAGCCGGTCACAGTGGTGCCCTCTCCCTATCTTCGGATCATCAGATGTGGTCTATAATGCGTTTCCTTACGTATCTGATCAATCCCTGATTCATCTATCCCGCTGACCTCCCAGTGACCTCTGACCTCACTGTGACCTTGACTTGATTAGTGCCTTCTGCCCTCCCTGGAGCCTCCACTGCCTCCGGAATTGCTCAAGTTCATTGATGATCCTCTGACCCCAACTCTTTCCTTTTTTTTACCCACTGAGAAGGGGTCTCGCTATGTTGCCCAGGTTGGTCTCGAACTCCTGGCCTCAAGCGATCCTCCTGCCCCAGCCTCTCAAAGTGCTGGGATTACAGGTGTGAGCCACCACGCCTGGCCTGAGCCCAGCTCTTTAATGCCCATTCATGTTAGTCCCCTGCCCACAATCCTGCCTTCTGACCTCCTCCTCCCTCCCTGATCCTGCCTGTGCCTGCCCAGGGGCTGCCCCTGGCTGAGTCGCTGAAGCGACTGATGTCCCTGTCTCCAGGACGGCCTCCTCTCCTACTTTGGGACGCCCACGTGGCAGACCGTGACCATCTTGGTGGCTGGAGTACTCACCGCCTCCCTCACCATCTGGAAGAAGATGGGCTGAGGCCCCCAGCTGCCTTGAACTGTGTTTTTCCTCCATAAATTATGGCATTTTTCTGGGAGGGGTGGGGATTGGGGGACATGGGCATTTTTCTTACTTTTGTAATTATTGGGGGGGTGGGGAAGAGTGGTCTTGAGGGGGTAATAAACCTCCTTCGGGACACACTGCGGCATCTGAGTCACTGGGCCTCTGCCCCACTCCCTGGCACATCAGGAGAGCAGGCCCTGCCCACCGCCCCATGCCAGGCCTGCCGTCTGCTCACCTAGAGATACCTGCTTGGGCCACTCAGGGACGTGGGGCTCTCTGCACTCCCTTGACATCTTTTTCTGGGGTGCCCATCTTTTTCTGGGGTCTGTGGGTTAGGGATGGGTTGGTCCCGGGCCTGCCGTGCAGGAGCCCACAGTCATGAAGGGAAAGGAAGGTGACTGGTGGCACATCTGTCGCAGCCCAGGACGATCTGTGCAGGACGGAGGCAGTGGCCTGTGAGACCTGAGCAGGCATGTGGGTAGGGGGAAGAACAGCACAGCTGGCTGCAAAGCAAGCCTCCCGGGCCTGGGACCAGAGCCTGGAGTGTCACACATGGGACCTCAGGAGGCCATACCTTTACGGAGCTGGAGAATGGGGGTGGGAGGAGGGATGGGAGGACCACGGAGGCAGGAAGGGCTCTGGAGCCTGGTGGTGACTGGAAGGTGGCAGGCTGAGGACACCAGGGCAAGAGGGCCCATGGGAGAGGCCTCCTGAGCTGGGCTGAGGACAGAGAGGAAGGGACCTGGCTGGGGACTGAGAGGCTGGAGGGCAGGGCAGAGGAGGAGGAACCTGGTCTGGCCCCACAGCTGGGTGGGGTCCCCCTGGAGAGGAACTCCCGGAAGAAGGTGCTGAACTCAGAGGCCCAGTGACCTCAGACAAGGGCCGAGAGAAGACAAGGGGGTTAGAGGATGTGGGTTCTCAGTCAGAGTCTCTGGCGCCCCCATTCTCTGGCTCTGTCATTCCCCTCTGGGTCTTTACCCCCTCCCGTCTCTGGGTCTCTGTCCCCACTTCTCTCTCTGGGTCTTTGCTTTCCAAGTCTCTGTTCCCACCACACCTTTGGCCCTCGTTCTCTGGGCTCTTTCCACCCCCCATCCCCAGACCTCTGGCCTCCTCTCTCTGGGTCTCTGGCCCCCGCTCTGAATGTCTGGCCCCCCATCTCTCTCTGTGTCTCTGTCCCCCTACCCTGAGTCTCTGTCCCCTTCCCTCTCTGGGTCTCTGTCCCCTTGTCTAGGGTCTCTGTCCCCCTCTCTTGGGTCTTTGTACCTCCCCTCTCTCTGGGTCTCTTCTCCCCCGCCCTGTCTCTGTCCTCCCCCATCCCTGTCCCACCCTCTCTCTGGGTCTCTGTTCTTCCACCTAGTCCCTGTCCCCTTCTGAGTCCCTGTTCCCCCTCTCTCTGGGTCTCTGACCCCACCTCTCTCTGGATCTCTGTCTGCCCCCCCTTCTCTGTGGATCTCTGTCCCCCACTCTGGATCTATACCCCTGCTCTGGATTTCTACTCCGCCCCGGGTCCCTCTGGGCCTCTGTCCCCCCCACCCCCGGGTCTCTGTACCTCCCTGCCTCTGTCCCCCCACCTCTGTCCTCTTCTCTTTGGGTTTCTGTCCCCCTCTCAGGGTCTCTGTCCCCCTCTCTCTGGGTCTCTGTCCCCCTCTCTCTGGGTCTCTGTCCCCCTCTCTCTCTGGGTCTCTGTCCCCTTCCCTCTCTGGGTCTCTGTCCCCCTCTCTCTCTGGATCTCTGTCCCCCTCTCTCTCAGGGTCTCTGTCCCCCTCTCCCTGGGTCTCTGTTCCCCTCTCTCTGGGTCTCTGTCTCCCTCTCTCTGGGTTTCTGTCCCCCTCTCTCTCAGGGTCTTTGAGTCGCTTTTTCTCTGGGCCTCTGTGTCCCCACCCCACATTCTCTATGGTCTTCAGATCCTGTCTCTCTCAGCCCCTCCTCTACCTCCACCTATGGGCCCCAAGGCCCCTCTCGGGACTAAAGGTCTCTGGGCTGAGGTATGACATTTGGTAAATGAGTAACTCGGGTCCCACAGTCAACGGGGTGCTTTGGGCGGCTGCCCCTCCTCCATGGACTCTTCCCAGAGACCCCAAGTCAGGGGAGTGAGGAGAAGAGGATCAATGAGTGTACACTGAGCCACCACCCAGAGGGGACAATATGGCCACAGGCAGGATCCCAGGAAAAAAAGAAAAAAACATGGGAACCAAAAAGACACGGAGACAAAGCACACAGCCGGCTTCCAACAAGGGGGGACCTGGGGGGAAGGGGCCCGATTTGGGTCTGAGCCAGGTCTAGTTCTGAGGGTCCCACCAAAAAAGTTGGGGAGTGCCAAGGGGATGAGGTCAGCGAGTGGCCCCACCCCCATCCGTCCCCGCGGGGGGCCCCTTCCCGCGCTGAGCTCAGCATGACTCAGCAGTCGCTGCCTGCAACAAGGACCCCAGATACCGGCCTGGCGAGGCATCTGCAGATCCCCTCGGTCAGGGGCTGCCCCGCCTGGGCTGCTCGGAGCGGCTCCTCTGTAGGGCAGGGCCTGACCTCACACCCCACGCCCCAGTGGCTTCAGCTCCCTGCCCAGCGCACGGGCTACCTCCATTGGGGCACTTAAGCAGGGTCAAGGTTTGCGACGACTCCGTCTCCCAGAAATCAACATGGACCAGGTCCACTTAAAAAATACGCATTAGTTGTAGACAGATGTCTCGTCCATAGGTCCCCAGACTGTTTGTCCACAACGCAGGGCTTCACTTTGTGGGCCTGAAAGAGCACACGTCAGGCAATACACGAGGGCAACTTCAGAGACACTGTTTTCAGGGCCAAGGAGAATTCTCGGAATCTATGAGTTGCCTCCAAAAACAGCTCCCAGGACCCGCAGTCCCAGAGACACCGCAAAGCTCGAAACAGACATTTCATTCCTCCCCATTTCCACTCCCAGAAAACGACTGGGCCCTTGAAAGAGCTCCAAGGTATCCCCAAAGTCCCAACCAGTCTTTGGAGGGTTTCAGAGGGCTGTCCAGGGTTCCAGAAGTCACCCTACCTCATACAATGCTCCTCCTGGGCTTCCCGCACTGGGTGAACCCCACGGCTCCAGAACAACTGCCCTTTCCAACTTGCAGAGCACCTCAAGGACCTAAAGATCTCCCCGGGGAGGGCTCCAAAATATAGAGTTTGCATCGTGAACTCCCACCTCTGTAAAGCCCAGGACTCCAGTCCTCGCACCCCTCTGTCTCCCAGAGATCCCCAGGGGTCCAGAAATACCACCTCACTGCCTTCCAAGCTTCCCAAGGATCCGGAGACTCCTTATCTCGCAGCACAAACCTCAGGCAACTACAGGTCCTCCCTGCACCTCTGAGTTGCCCCTCCCCCCACTCAAGGTTCCAGAAAAATCCATGCCCTCCGAAACCCCAGAATCTGACTTACTTTCCCGAGGCACCCCCAGGACCCCAGGGTCATCAGTTCACAGGACTCTTAATGCTCCCATAAAACTATAGCCTCCCAGAGGGACCCCAGCCCCCCCCCCCCCCCCCCCCGAAACCCTCCATTCCTCCAATTGGCCCCAGGGCCCCAACCCCCCCAAGCCCCCATTTCACAACACACTCGCGCTGCAAGCGCGTGACTTCCCCCTGCTTTGGGGCGGGGGCTGAGACTCCTGTGTGCTCCGGATTGGTCAGGCAAGGCCTTCGGCCCCGCCTCCTGTCACCGCAGATTGGCCGATTGCCCGCTCCGAGCGCCCCGCCTCCGAGGGCCAGCGTACTATAAAAGAAGCCGCCCTAGCCACGTCCCCTCGCAGTTCGGCGGTCCCGCGGGTCTGTCTCTTGCTTCAACAGTGTTTGGACGGAACAGATCCGGGGACTCTTTCTTCCAGCCTCCGACCGCCCTCCGATTTCCTCTCCACTTGCAACCTCCGGGACCATCTTCTCGGCCATCTCCTGCTTCTGGGACCTACCAGCACCGTTTTTGTGGTTAGCTCCGTCTTGCCGACCAACCATGAGCTCCCAGATTCGTCAGAATTATTCCACCGACGTGGAGGCAGCCGTCAACAGCCTGGTCAATATGTACCTGCAGGCCTCCTACACCTACCTCTCTCTGGTGAGTCCCCAGGACGCCCCTGGCCCTAATTTCCCCCAGCTACGCACGTTCGGCCCTCAGCGCAGGCGCCGGCCTTCTTTGTCCGGTCGAGTAAACAGAGGGCGGAGTCCCCCTTGGCCTCGCCTCCCGCTAAGCATTGTTCCCTCCATCTCTTTCCTTAGGGCTTCTATTTCGACCGCGATGATGTGGCTCTGGAAGGCGTGAGCCACTTCTTCCGCGAATTGGCCGAGGAGAAGCGCGAGGGCTACGAGCGTCTCCTGAAGATGCAAAACCAGCGTGGCGGCCGCGCTCTTTTTCAGGACGTCAAGGTAACTAGTGTGTGGGTAGGGTAACGGACTACATCTCCCAGCAGGCCGTGCGCGCGAGGAGCCTTGATTTGAGGGCTTAGATGTCGCGTGGGCTTCGGGGAGATTGAGTTCCGTCTTGTGAGCCCTTTTACGGCTGGAAATAGAGGCGCACGTCGTGCAGTGCCCCCAGGACGCGGCAGTCCACACCGCTGCGTAGTCTTAAGGACTTGTAGCTGTAAGAGCTAGGACGGGGTGCGGAGAGAGATAAATACAAGCTGTCACATGTCTTTGTGGTCTGGGCCTCTGACCCCCACCAACTCTTGGGAAATGTAGGTTTAGTTCCATGTGCCGAGTGTGTGTATTCTGAAGCCATTTCTCCCTTCTGTATAGAAGCCAGCTGAAGATGAGTGGGGTAAAACCCCGGATGCCATGAAAGCCGCCATGGCCCTGGAGAAAAAACTGAATCAGGCCCTTTTGGATCTTCATGCCCTGGGTTCTGCCCACACGGATCCCCATGTACGTACTCCCTGCATCCATGGCTACCCAACTATACCCCTCAAGCCTTTGCTCTCTTTGGGCAAATTCCCTTCAGAGCCTCATTTAACACCTGTCATATTTTAATCTGCAACTGGCAGCTCTTTCTCCCTCTTTTTCAGGGATCGGGTTTCTTTTTTCTTTTTTCTTTTTCTTTTTTTGAGATGGAGTCTCACTCTGTCGCCCAGGCTCACTGCAAGCTCCGCCTCCTGGGTTCACGCCATTCTCCTGCCTCAGCCTCCCAAGTAGCTGGGACTACAGGCGCCCACTACCTCGCCCAGCTAGTTTTTTGTATTTTTTTTAAGTAGAGACGGGGTTTCACTGTGTTAGCCAGGATGGTCTCGATCTCCTGACCTCGTGATCCGCCCGTCTCGGCCTCCCAAAGTGCTAGGATTACAGGCTTCAGCCACCGCGCCCGGCAGGGATCGGGTTTCTAATTTCTCCCTCTTCTCTCTCAGCTCTGTGACTTCCTGGAGACTCACTTCCTAGATGAGGAAGTGAAGCTCATCAAAAAGATGGGTGACCACCTGACCAACCTCAACAGGCTGGCCGGCCCGGAGGCTGGGCTGGGCGAGTATCTCTTCGAAAGGCTCACTCTCAAGCACGACTAAGAGCCTTCTGAACCCAGCGACTTCTGAAGGGCCCCTTGCAAAATAATAGGGCTTCTGCCTAAGCCTCTCCCTCCAGCCACTAGGCAGCTTTCTTAACGACCCTAACAAGCCTTGGACCAAATGGAAATAAAGCTTTTTTGATGCAGTTGGTGGTTTTGTGTGTGGTATGGAAGATGAGGTGGGATCTCTTCTCATAAAGCTTCTGGCTGGGTTGGGGATGCCAGCGAAAGAGGAGTTGGCCCCATCTCCCATTTTCTGATCTCTTCTAAGACAAGAAGCTATCTGGGTAGTGTTGAACTTGAGGGTTCTCTGCTTGCCTGGCTGTTAACTGTCCCTCCCGGATGGTAGAGATAGCCTCCAGGGAGCTGAATTAAGACCTGGGTTGGTACTTGGACACAGATCTGTTCGGTCTCAGCCAGAAACAGCACTATTTAACGAGTGATTATGGGGCCACGTGGGCCGATCAGCTGATGTCAGGATTTCGAGACCAGCCTGACCAACATAGAGAAACCCCATCTCTACTAAAAATACAAAATTAGCCGGGTGTGGTGGTGCATGCCTGTAATCCCAGCTAGTCAGGAGGTTGAGGCAGGATTATCACTGGAACCTGGGAGGCGGAGGTTGCGGGTGAGCCGAGACCAACGTCATTGCACTCCAGCCTGGGCAACAAGAGCAAAACTCCCATCTGAAAAAAAACCAAAAAACATGTCTGCCTCACGGAGGTTGCAGTGAGCTGGTATGGTGCCAATACGCTCCAGACTGGGCAACGGAGTGAGACTCTGTCTCAAAACAAACAAACAAAAACCTCAATTCTGGGAGGCAGCTGAAATTATTAGGCCCTTTATATGGGCACATTGAGGCTACTGCTGTGCAACTTGCATGGCAACCAGGAGGCTCACTGAGGTCTTTGCTCCAGAGTTTACAGATTATGGCCCAAGCTTCAGTAATCCCAATGTGAGGTGCACACTGAGAGGAACTGACAAGTGGAGCTGAGCGACCAGGCACACGTGATGCCCAAGTAATGCTGGACAAGGGGTTTAGGGTTCATCATAGAAATGCGATGTGAAACTTTGGGCCGGATTCTCCAAGTGGGAACTGAAAAAGCTGAAAACAGGCCTTAAAAAGCATCTGCTGGGTCCAAGCTGCAAAACTGCTGTGTCAGCTCTGACTCCTCCCCTTCTTCCCCTGGGGCTGGGGTGGGGTGGGGTGGCTCAAGCCTGTAACCCCAGCACTTTGGGAGACTGAGGCAGGAGGATCACTTGAGCCCAGGAGTTTGAGACCAGCCTAGGCAACATAGGGAGCCCCCCATTCTCAAAAAAAATAAATTTAACCAGGTGTGGTGGCACGTGCCTATAGTCCCCGTTACTTGGAAGGCTGAGGTGAGAGGATCACTTGAGCCTGGGAGGTTGAGACTGCAGTGAGCCATGATTTCTCCACTGCACTCCAGTCTGGGATTCAGAGGGACATCCTGTTATCAAAAAAAGAAGTGGCCAGGCACTGTGGGTCACACCTGTAATCCCAGCACTTTGGGAGGCCGAGGCAGGCAGATCACCTGAGTTTAGGAGTTTGGAGAACAGCCTGGCCAACATGGTCAAATCCTGCCTCTACTAAAAATACAATTAGCCCAGTGTAGTGGCGTGCTCCTGTAGTTCCAGCTACTCAGGGGGCTAAGGCAGGAAAATTGCTTAAACCCAGGAGGTGGAGGTTACAGTGAGCCAAGATTGCTCTCCACTGCACTCCAGGCTGGTGACAGAGCGAGACTCCGTCTCAAAAAAAAAAAAAAAAAAAAGCTACACAAGGTTCACAGCTGTCCTATAGATCTTCTTCCCAGTCACATAGCCCCTTTATGCCAAAGATGTCTTAAGCCAAATTTTTGCCACTTGCAAATCAAGGCCCAAGTAAGCAATCAGAGGTACCTTCCGTGAATGACTCTGGAATTTTAGAACAGCAAAATCCAAGTGTCTCTAGACTAGGAGGATGAGCTCAGACTAGGGAAGGGGTGACGTTGGGGGGACGTCAGACCCAGGCCCACCAAGTATTCATGTCTGACCACACCTGGAATTCTTAAATATAGATGTATTTTTTTCATCTCATCTCCAGACACATTCCAATCACACCCCTCCTGCCCTCCCCTCCCAACTGCAAACCAAGCGGTGCAGACACAGCACAGCACACATGAGGGTCCCTCCTTTTCACCAAAGCTGAAGGCAGGGCACAGTTTGGGGATGGAAGAGCCTCGAGGTAAATGTGGGGGGGGGTTCTAGAACCCAGTGACCTCAGTTCCGGATCATGGGAAAGGGACTAGTATGCAGCAACGTGGTAAGGTTCCAGATCTAGAAGCCAGGACCTAGAACCTAGTGGTTTCACAGTGGGCTGAGTGGTTGGGAACAAGCCAGGTTAGGGGTGGGGGTAGACAGCCAGCTCTGTCCTCTGCAGGCAGATTCCCTGGAGGGAGATCTCAGACAAAGAAAGGAGGAGTAGGATCTGGTCCAGAAAAGGCCAGAAAGGCAGGAAGGCATCTGGACTGAGACTGTGTGTCCTCCAGAAGGAATGAGCAGCCAAGTGGTTCTGCCACCTCTGGCTTGGCCAAAGTGTAGGGGATGACAGGAGCCAGATGGAGGGATCCTCCAGGCAGAGCCTGGCTCTGACATGCCAGGGAGGGCTAGAACATGAACCCATCCCAGAGCCCAAGTTCTGGAGTTGAAATGGAGGACCATCTGCTCTCAGTTACCTTCAAACTCTGAAAAGTGCCCCGGCTCTGGACTTGATTGCCCCATTTGCAGGGACATCACGTGGTTTCCAGCACTTGGTGGCCCGCATGCTGGGCCTGAGCATGGCCTGCTCTGTATGCTGTAGAATTTGCAAGCCTTACGGGGGCTCTAGGAGCCCCACACCTGAAAGCACCATGCCAGGTTTCCTAAAACCTCTGGCACCACCGCAGAGTAATGGCAGATTCCTGGCCTCTGGGAAGCGGTCCAGGCCCAGGGGATTCCAGGGTGCGGATTATGCACTCTGGAATCAGAGAAAGGCACAGCTTTGTGGATTCTGGAGTGCAGGAACTTGGAAAGTGGAGCTGGAGGGGCTGGAGTGTTTGGCGGACTGAGGGGGGACACTGCGGGGCCACATCCAGTGCGGATCTGGAGCAGGGGTTTAGGAGCAGCCCCCATCTGCATCCTCTCTCTGGAGCAGGGAGGCAGGACAGGCAGGGAGTGTGGTGGGGGGGACTTAGTTACGCTCCTCGCCCAGGGAGCTGGTGGGGCTGAGGGGCTCGCTGGGGGTGCTGAGCGAGCTGGAGGTGGCCGTGTCCACAGAGTTGCGCTTGCTCCCGCTGGTGGAGGAGGTGCAGGATGCTCGGCGCGGCCATTCTGGTGCACGAATGTTGCGCCGATCCTTGGCGGCCTCCTCGTCCTCATCGTAGCGCTCGCTGTCTTCCACCAGAGGCCCGTTCCGGGGATCCTCCTCGTCCTCGCTCTGGTGCGGGCTGGAGTGTCGTGACAGTGAGGGCGACGGTGGCACCGAGGCCGGCCGTGGGTAGCGGTACCCTTGGGCCTGCATACAGGGATATGGGTGCAAACCAGGGTGAGCTGAGGACCTCACAGTCCTACCCAGGCATCCAGCCACCTCTAGGCCTTCCCATTCCAGGAGGGACCCCCAGCCCTTTAGCTCCTGGCTAAGCAGAAATCCAGGGTCCACTCACCGCATCCGCCTCGCTGGGCTCGTAGGTGAAGTGCTCTGGAAAGGCCTTGGACAGCGCCATGTGGCGCGCAGACATATAGTACTAGGGGAAAGGAGGGGAGGGGGCAGAGGACGTGAGAGCCAGGCCCCACCCCCAGGCAGATGATGGGGCTCCTGGCCACACCCTTTATGCAGATGAGCACACCCTGCTGCACCATTGGGCCTGCCCCATGCAAATAATCCATCGGACTCCACCCCTTATGTAAATAAGCAGATCTATGAATGGACAGTTTCTGAGCCACACCCCTCAAACGGGGCCGAATTCTCAAGTCAGGCACCTCTTTGGCCACACCTTTATACAAATGAAATGCCTAACCAATGTTCTTTTTTTTTTAAACAGGGTCTTGCTCTGTTACCCTAGGATGGAGTGCAGTGGGGTTGATCAAGGCTCACTGCAGCCTCAACCTCCGGGGCTCAAGAGACCCTACCACCTCAGCCTCCCCAGTAGCTGGGACTACAGGCACGCACCACCACACTCGGCTGAATTTTTTTTTTTTTTTTTTTTTTTTTGTAGTAGAAATAAAATGTTGCCCAGGCTGATCTCTTAACTCCTGAGCTCAAGCGATCCTCCCTGTTAGGCCTCCCAAAGTGCTAGGATTACAGGGATGAGCCACCACCGCGATCGGCCTGGTTCATTGTTTAAAGGGACAGCAACTGTTACAAGTAGGATGAGACCCTTCACCCTGCACCAAAGACCCAGAGCCAGGAGCGGCTGATTTCCCAGGAGAGGGTAGGAAGTGGAGGAGGGGGGTCCTACCCGGCCTAGGTATTTCCAGTCCAGAAGGTCGGAGAGGCGCTCCGTGCGGTTCCGCTGGATGATACGCTGCCGCCGGCTCTGCTGACAGAAGCTGTAGAGGAAGGAGGTGAGCTGCGAGCAGGAATCATCCAGGCTGCGGAACCGCCGGTCGAGAATGTAGATACCTGCGGAGGCCAGGACCTGGGTTCAGAAAATGTCCTGGGGAGATCTTCATTGTCTCCAGGACTCTGTGGCACCAGGACCCCTCCTCTCCCAGGGACCCGAGAGTCCCCCCATTTCCTGGTGCCCCTGGTCCCCAAGGGTGCAAGCTCCTCCTTCCCAGGATCCAGGAGTCCCGGCTCTCAAGCCCCCTTCTGGAATCCTCAGGGGCCTGGGCGCTGACCGTAAGCTGAGGGGTCTGCAATGTGTTCCTCCATGAAGCAGCCGAAGCCGGAGAGATTGGTGGAGATACTGGGGATGCCCATAACCGTGCACTCAGCTGCGGGAAGGCAGGAAAGAGACCCACTTAGCTTACCCCATCTCCTACCGTCTTAATCGCAATAGACGCCTCAACAGCGCCCTCTACCGGCGCCTGTACCAAGTGCCAGGCGCTGTGCGGAGCGTCGCTGTGTGGAGCGTCGCTGTGCGGAGCGTCCCTGAGCCCCCACAACCAAGCTGTGCATTTCCCTATTTCTCAGAGGGGACACTAAGAAACTCAGAAAAAAGAATTACTTGCTCTTGCTCCAAGGACTCAGGATGCGGGAAAGTCTATAGTTGGGAGATTAGGATGCTAATTTATTGAGCGTCCCGATGTCCGTTTGACTTAACTCTTACAACCTGTAGGATTGGGCCAAGGTCCATCATTCTACTTAACTGTTCACAACCTGTAAGATCCTTTCTTGTGCCAGTATCTTGTACAGACTTAGTCTATTTTGATGGGGGGTAAGATAAGGTCTCTCATTATTAGTATCCCTGTGTACAGAGCATCTACTGCGTCTTGTTTAATACCTTTAACAACCTTGAGAAATAGTTCAAGGAATGTATTATAATTTTTTGATGGATTTTTATGCCTTTTTTTTTTTCCTTTTGAGACAGGGTCTCACTCTGTCACCCAAACTGTAGTGCAGTAGCACAATCTCGGCTCACTGCAACCTTCACCTCCCGGGTTCAAGCGATTCTCGTGCCTTAAGTCACCTGAGTAGCTGGGACTACAGGCGTGCACCACCATGCCCAGTTAATTATTGCATTTTTAGTAGAGACGGGGTTTCACCATGTTGGTCAGGCTGGTCTCGAACTCCTGACCTTAGGTGATCCACCCATCTCAGCTTCCGAAAGTGGTGAGATTATAGGCGTGAGCTAGTGCGCCTGGCCCAATGCTATTTTTTTTTTTTTTTCTTGAGACAAAGTGTCACTTTATCACCCAAGCTGGAGGACAGTGGCTTGATCACAGCTCACGGCAGCCTTAACCTCCTAAGCTCAAGCAATTCTCCCACCTCAGTCACCCAAGTAGTTGGGACTACAAGCACACAACACTACTCCTGGCTAAAAAAAAAAAAAAAAAGGCCAGGCACGGTGGCTCATGCCTATAATCCCAGCACTTTGGGAGGCCGAGGTGGGTGGATCACGAAGTCAAGAAGAAAAAAAAAACATCCTGGCCAACATGGTGAAACCCTGTGTCTACTAAAAATACAAAAATTAGCTGGGTGTGGTGGCACCTGCCTATAGTCCCAGCTACTCCGGAGGCCAAAGCAGAATCACTTGAACCTGGGAGGCGGAGGTTGCAGTGAGCCAAGATTGTGCCACTGCACTCCAGCCTGGCGATAGAGCAAGACTCTGTCTCAAAAGAAAAAAAAAAAATCTTTTATAGAGACAGGGTCTCACCATGTTGTCCGGACTGGTCTTGAACTCCTGGGTTCAAGTTATCCTCTCACCTCAGCCTTCCAAGGTGCTAGGATTATAGGTGTGAGCCACTGCTCCTGACCTATAATTATTATAATAATAATTATTATTATTATTGTAGACAGGGTCTGACTCTGTCGCCCAGGCTGGAGTGCAGTGGCACGATCTCAGCTCACTGCAACCTCTGCCTCTGGGGTTCAAACGATTCTCCCATCTCAACCTCCTGAGAGGCTGGGATTACAGGTGCCTGCCACCACGCCCAGTTAACTTTTGTATTTTTAGTAGAGATAGGGTTTCACCATGTTGGCCAGGATGGTCTCAAACTCCTGTCCTCAAGTGATCCTCCCACCTCAGCCTCCCAAAGTGCTGTGATTATAGGCGTGAGCCACCATGCCTGGCTTGATCTATAATTCTTATTTAAGTGTTTCTAAAAACTTCTGTAAACTGCAAAAATAGGCACTAAATATAATAGGTCTGTGAGGCATGGTGGGGTGCACCTGTAATGAGGAAAACAGATACTCAAGAGGTTGAGGCAGGAGCATCACCTGAACCTAGGAGTTCCAGGTGAGTCTGGGCAACATAGTAATACCCCCATCTCAAAACACAAACAAATAGTTTAAAAGTATTAAATATATATTTATGATATAGTTTGACTCTGTGTTTCCCCCCCACCACCAAATTTTATCTTGAAATGTAACCTCACGTGTCGAGGGAGGGAAATGATTGGATTACGGGGGTGGTTACCCCCCTGCTGTTCTCATGCTAGTCAGTGAATTCTCACAAGATCTCATGGTTTTATAAATGTTCATTTTTCCCGCCCCCTCACATACTTTTCTTTCCTGCCACCAGGTGAAGAAGCTCCCTGCTTCCCGTTCTGCCATGACTGACTTTTCTGAGCCCTCCCCAGCCATGTGGAACTGTGAGTCAATTACACCTCTTTCCATTATAAATTACCCAGTCTTGGATTTTTTTTTATATATAGCAGTGTAAAAACAGACTAATACTATCTATCAATCTATCTATCTATAAAACAAGCGCTATGGGAAAAAGGGAATTAGGGCTGACCACATGACTCCTAATTATCATGCCAGCACAGTTTGCAAGACTTGTTAAATTACTAATTAGGAAACGGCACTTATTTAGCTTTCATTTATTTATTTATTTATTTTTGAGATGGAGTCTCGCTCTGTCGCCCAGAGCACTGCACTGCTGGAGCACAGTGGTGTGATCTCAGCTCACTGCAACCTCCACCTCCCAAGTTCAAGCAATTCTCTGCCTCATCCTCCCGAGTAGCTGGGACTACAGGTGCGCACCACCACACCTGGCTAATTTTTGTATTTTTAGTACAGACAGGCTTTCACCATATTGGCCAGGCTGATTTCAAACTCCTGACCTCGTGATCTGCCCATCTCGGCCTCCCCAGGTGTTGAGATTACAGGCGTGAGCCACTACACCCGGCCTTATTTAGCTTTAAAAACACTGGCTAATGTGAACCAACAAGAGGAAGGTAGAGTCGATGGGCACTGGGAATGTCTTGCGAGGAGACTAGGCCACACTCAGCTGTGTTTGTGAATTGTGCATTTCATTGCTGCTATTTGGGGGGCCAAATGCCCATGCACTGGGACAAATCAGTGTGACCTGTGATATCCATTTGACCCTAACTAGTCCTCAAAACCCAGTCTTCTAGTTTCTCAATACATGAGCTATTGTGTCACAAAAGCAGGCACTGTAGCAGAACAGATGATTACCATTGTTCCTATTTTGCCAAGAAGGCAACAGGGTCACAGAAGGCCAGTGCCTTGCCCCAGGACATGCTAGCTCTGACTGGGACGCCATGACCACACTGTCCCCTGCCCACTACACTCACCCGGCGTGTAGCCCCAAGGCTCATAGTAGGATGGGAAGACCCCAAGGTGACAGCCACGGACAAACTCCTCATAGTCCACTGGGAGCAGGGGGCTTGTGGAGGAGAGGAACTCCGGGTGGAAAATCACCTGGTAGTGAAAAAGAAGGGCTCAGCCCAGGCGCCTTGTTTAGCTAAGCCCTGAGATCCCAAGGTGGCCCAGAGAGGGTAAAAAGCTTGTCTAGCATCACACAGCATGTGTTTGGCAGGACCAGTGTTCAAACCCAGGTCTGTTTGAAGCCAGGGTTCCTTCTAACCACAGCAATGCATTTGATAAAACATATGGGGAAATGGAGTGTGTGAGACCCAGGACCCAACCCCTTCCCTCTGCCGTGCCCAACCCAGCCCTGACCAAACGCCCTCACCTTCACCCTGTCGGCACTGCTATTGAAGAGGCCGATTCGGCGGATGGTGGTCAGGATGGGGTCTGAGGAGTCATCCAGCATATTGTGGGTGCACACAGGGGGGAAAGACTGCCGCTGTAGGAGCCACAAGAAGGGTAGGGGGTCATGGAAGGGACAGAGAACTCCCTACTTCCCCATGAGCCATGCTGACCGCGGGGAAGCCAAGGAGGCCACAAGTGCCACCAGGCCAAGGAGCAGCAAACCCGAGTGAGTACTAGGAGTTGTGGATCCACCAGGCTCTAGTAAAACCCCTAAAAATACAAAAAATAGCCAGGTGTGGTGGCGGGCACCTGTAGTCCCAGCTACTTGGGAGGCTGAGGCAGGAGAATGGCTTGAACCCTGGAGGCAGAGCTTGCAGTGAGCCGAGATTGTGCCACTGTACTCCAGCCTGGGAGACAGAGCAAAACTCCGTCTCAATAAAAAAAAAAAAAAAAAAAAAGAACTACAATTCCCAGCTGTCTTTGAGGCAATGCCAGTGTTAGCAACTCCCTTACCTCCAAGCACTATGAGGAGTTGTAGCTATCTTGTTATTTACTCTGGGCTCTATCATTAAAGAAACCCAAAGAAAGTATAACTATCCCCAGTCAATGGGGGTGGAGACTGTACCAATATGGCAGCAAGCTTTGGAGGCTGCTGGGAGTTGTAGCTTCCTTATGAAAATTCACCTCCAATCGCCAGGCGCAGTGGCTCACGCCTGTAATCCCAGCACTTTGGGATGTTGAGGTGGGAGGACGACAAGGTCAGGAGATCAAGACCATCATGGCTAACACGGTGAAACCCCGTCTCTACTAAAAATACAAAAAAAATAGCCGGGCATGATGGTGGGCGCCTGTAGTCCCAGCTACTTCGAGGCTGAGGCAGGAGAATGGCGGGAACCTGGGAGGCGGAGCTTGCAGTGAGCCAAGATTGCACCACTGCACTTCACTGGTACAACTTCACTTAGGGAGGCACTTAGGGTGGGCTGTTTTCTGTGGCTTATTCTGCCACGGGGGTTGCTGGGAGGTGCGGCTTTTCTAGGACTCTGGGGTCAGTGAACAAAGGGAAGCTTATTTATTTATTTTTATTGTATTTATTTATTTTGAGACAGAGTCTCGCTCTGTCGCCCAGGCTGGAGTGCAGTGGCGCCAACTCGGCTCACTGCAACCTCCACCTTCCAGGTTCAAGCGATACTCCTGCCTCAGCCTCCCAAGTACCTGGGATTACAGGTACCCACCACCATGCGTGGCTAATTTTTATATTTTTAGTACAGACGGGATTTCACCATGTTGTGCCTCCGTACGTGAAGTTGTACCAGTCAGCACATGCCCTTCTGTGGATCTCAGAATAGATCCCTTAATAAAGGGCTGCAGGAGAAAGCAGCACTCCCGGCAATCTCTGGGGTCTGAGCTGGTGTGGCAAGCTGCCGCTGGGGCTGCCGGGAACTGCCATCTCTCTGCACAGAGGTCCAATCCATACCTGCGTTGCAAAGATGGCTCTCTTCATCATAGTGAAGTCTTCCTTATCCAGCATCTTGTTCATGTCAGGAAGGCTCCCACTGCAAGGCAAGCAGGGGCATGCGTGTGAGAACAGAGTGATGAGAGGCTTAGTCAGGGCCTAGGAGGGCACAGGGCTGAGGGCAGGGCACTCACACCAGTAAGGATTCGTAAAGCTTCCTCCCGAACTTCTCCTTCACCGTGTTGGCCGTGTCCCTGGAGGAAGCAGAGCAACAGGGTCACCTACACACCAGCTGCCAGTTACTATTAGGCTTCTTTAGTTTGTTTGTTTGTTTATTTTGAGACAGAGTTTGGCTCGTCGCCCAGGCTGGAGTACCATGGAGTGATCTCAGCTCACTGCAACCTCTGCCTTCTGAGTTCAAGTAATTCTCCTGCCTCAGCCTCCCAAGTAGCTGGGATTACAGGCATGTGCCACCATGCCTGGCTAATTTTGTATTTTTAGTAGAGACGGGGTTTCTCCATGTTGGTCAGGCTGGTCTTAAACTCCTGACCTCAGATGACCCGCCCACCTCGGCCTCCCAAAGTGCTGGGATTATAGGCTTCAGCCACCACACCAGAAGTTTATTTCCTAATTTATTTATTTATTTATTTTTTTGACAGAGTTACTCTGTCACCCAGACTGGAGTGCAGTGGTACGATCTTGGCTCTCTGCAACCTCCGCCTCCCAAGTCCAAGCAATTCTCCTGCCTCATCCTCCTGAGTAGCTGGGATTACAGGCACCTGCCACCATGCCTGGCTAATTTTTGTATTTTTAGTAGAGACGGGGTTTCACCATGTTGGCCAGTCTGGTGTCGAACTCGTGACCCCTGACTGGTAATTGGCCACCTCGGCCTCCCAAAGTGCTGGGATTACAGGCGTGAGCCACCGTGCCGGGCTACTCTTAGGTTTCTAGGGTAGCAAGGAAACTGAGGTGTGAGCAGGGAAGCTGTGCCCCGGGGCCTCCAAGCTGGTGGATGGGAACCCAGGGGGCAGGCCCTGGAAGGCTTAGAGCCCACGTGCCTGACATCAGCTGTGTGGTCAGGGACAGGTGGCCTTCCCTCTCTGACTGCAGTGACTCATTTTTCAGATAAGGATGAAAATAGAATCAACCTCAGAGGTTTGCAATGAGGACCCAATGATGTCATGCAAAAAAGTACACATAGCAAGCCTTCCAGAAATGTCAACTATTATTAGGACTTGTACTTGTCCTGCAGATGGCAATGCTAAGCCCCATTTTATACGAAAAGAAAGATTCTGAAAAAGGACCATTTAGGCACACAAGTAAAACTAGTGTCACATGACACCCCACGGTCACTCTTCTACTTAAAATCCTCCCATAGCTCTGGCCTCGTTTTTCTTTCTTTTTTTTTTTTCCTTTTGAGACAGAGTCTTGCTCTGTTGCCCAGGCTGGTGCAACCTCAGCCACTTTCTAGGTTCCAGAAATTCTCCTGTCTCAGCCTCCTGAGTAGCTGCAATTACAAGCGTGCACCACCATGTCTGGCTAATTTTTATATTTTTAGTACTGATGGGATTTCACCATGTTGACCAGGCTGATCTCAAACTCCTGACCTCCAAGTGATCCGCCCGCCTCAGCCTCCCAAAGTGCTGGGATTGTGAGTCACCACGCCCAGCCTTCTCTTTTTTTTTTTTTTTTTTTTTTTTTTTTTTGAGACCGAGTCTGGCTGTCACCCATGCTGGAGTGTATTGGTGCGATCTTGGCTCACTGCAACCTCTGCCTCCCAGGTTCGAGCGATTCTCCTACCTCAGCCTCCTGAGTAGCTAGGACTACAGATGCGTATCACCACGCCCAGCTAATTTTTGTGTTTTTAGTAAAGACAGGCTTTCACCATGTTGGTCAGGCTGGTCTCCAACTTCCGACCTCAGGTGATCCACCCACCTCAGCCTCCCAAAGTGCTGGGATTACAGGTGTGAGCCACCACGCCTAACTTCTTTTTTCTATTTTTGAGACAGAGTCTCACTCTGTCGCCTAGGCTGGAGTGCAGTGGCGCAATCATGCCTCACTACAGCCTCAACCTCCAGGGCTGAAATGATCCTCTTGACTTAGCCTCCCAGGTAGCTGGGACTACAGGAGCGCCCCACCATCCTGCCTCACTTTCTACCCCTTCTCTATGAGGCATGCCGCTCCAGCCCCATGGGCCTACCCACCGTGTCTCAATCATGCCTTAGGGCTTTGCATTTACTGTTCCCCAGATACCCACAGGGTTTTTTCCCTCGCCACCTTTCCTCGTCTCTGCCCAATAACACTTTCTCAGTGTGGCCTGTCCTGACAACCCCGTCTCATATTCCAGTTCTGCTTTATTTTTGCCCGAAAGTATATTCCGTCTACAGGATTTTCTAGAATACAAGCTCCATGAGGAAAGGGATCTTATCTTTCTGGTTCACAGCTGTATTCCCAGGACCTGGAATACCTGAGGGTGGATCACTTGAGGTCAGGAGTTCGAGACCAGCCTGGTCAACATGATGAAATCTCATTGGTACTAAAAATATAAAAATTAGTCAGCACATAGTAGATACTCAGTATCTGCTGCTAATGAATGAATGGTTTTACAGATGAAGAAACTGAGGTTCGCTGGGAGGCGGAGGTTGTAGTGAGCTGAGATCAAGCCACTGCACTCCAGCCTGGGTGACAGAGACTTTTTTGAGACAGAATCTCAAAAAAAACAAAAAACAAAAAAACTCAGAGAAAAGAAAAAGAAACTAAGCCGGGCACAGTGGCTCACCCCTGTAATCCCAGCACTTTGGGATGCCAAGGCGGCTGGATCACCTGAGGTCAGGTGTTCGAGATCAGCCTGGCCAACATGGTGAAACCCCGTCTCTACTAAAAATACAAAAAAAAGGGAGGCATGGTGGCTCACACCTGGAATCCCAGGACTTTGGGAGGCCGAGATGGCTGGATCACCTGAGGTCAGGTGTTTGAGATCAGCCTGGCCAACATGGTGAAATCTCGTCTCTACTAAAAATACAAAAAAAAAGCTAAGTGGCTCACGCCTGGAATCCCAGGGAGGATTCCTCGGCCAGGCAGGTGGATCACCTGAAGTCAGGAGTTCAAGACCAGCCTGGCCAACATAGTGAAACCGCATCTCTAATAAAAACAAAAAGTTAGCCAGGTGTGGTGGCACTCAGCTACTCGAGAGGCTGAGGCAGGAAAACCACTTGAACCCGGGAGGCGGAGGTTGCAGTGAGTCGAGATCGTGCCATTGCACTCCAGCCTGGGCGACAGAGCAAGACTCCATCTCAAAAGAAAAAAAATAATAAAAGAGGGCAGGGTGCAGTGGCTCATGCCTGTAATCCCAGCACTTTGGGAGGCTGAGGCAGGCGGATCACAAGGTCAGGAGTTTGAGACCAGCCTGGCCAACATGGTGAAACCCCATCTCTACTGAAAATACAAAAATTAGCTAGGCATGATGGTGTACACCTGTAGTCCCAGCTACTCGAGAGGTTGAGGCAAAAGAACTGCTTGACCAGGAGGCGGAGGTTGCAGTGAGCCAAGATCGTGCCAGTACACTCCAGCGTGGGTGACAGAGGGAGACTCTGTCTCAAAAAAAAAAAAAGAGCCGAGTGTGGTAGTGGGTGCCTGTAGTCCCAGCTACTTGGGAGGCTGAGGCAGAAGAATTGCTTGAATCCGGGAGGTGGAGGTTGCAGTGAGTCAAGATCACGCCACTGCACTCCAGCCTGAGCGACAGAGTGAGAGTGTCTCAAAAAAGAAAAAAAAAAAAAAAAGGCTGAGACTCTAGGAGAAACACAGGACCCAAAGTACACAGCTGGGAGTGGGCTGGGCCGGGGTCTGGAGTGAGGGATGCTGACCAAAGCTGTTTGCGCACGGCTTGGCCTTTGAGGGTTTCCACATTGAAATTGTTGGTCCGCGCCGGCATGATGAAGAAGGCAACCACTGTCTGCTCACTGCCATTCACCTGCGCAGAAAGAAAGCAGGGGGAGGCCAGGATCATGTCGGGGAAGCCTGGGACCAGCCAGCCTTTCTGCCAAGACTGCTGGGATCCTGCCATACCCCTTCCTGTCAAGGAGAATTATAGGACAGTCGCCACTTGGACTCTGCCCTTCTTTCTGGGTCTCTATACTCCCCTCACGGCACCCTAACACACGCAGGGGCTTTCCTACCCCCATCTTCCTGGGTTTCTATTCTCTCTGTTATTTCTCGTTTTGTTTGTTTGTTTTTGAGACAGCGTTCTTTTTCTGTCGACCAGGCTGGAGTGCAGTGGTGTGATCTCGGCTCACTGCAACCTCCGCCTCCCGGGCTCACGTGATCCTCCCCGTTCACCCTCCCTAGTAGCTGTGACTACAGGTGTGAGCCACCATGCCTGGCTAATTTAATTTTTGTATTTTTTGTAGAGATGGGGTTTCACCATGTTGCCCAGGCTGGTCTCCATCTCCTGGGCTCAAGTGATCCTCCTGCCATGGCCTCCCAAAGTGTTGGGATTACAGGCATGAGCCACTGCGCCTGGCTGTTCTCCCCAGTTATAAACTGCTTTGCTTGCCCTCCCTCTGTCCCCTCATAGCCCAGGCCTCACTCTGAGCAGATAGTTGAGCCGGGCCAAGGCCTCCAGGAAGACGTCGGCACCTTTGTTGGAGAACTCATAGCGGCCGGCGATAAAGAAGTACAAGGTCTTGTCCAAGTTGAAGTCCAGATGCCTAAAGAACCCACAAGGCATGGTAAAGCCCAAAGCCCTCACCCGCTAGCCCTGGCCTCAAAACTACAAATCCCAGAAGCTATGGGTGGGGGCAGAGGATGTCTTAGGTAATACAGAGGCATCACGGGGCCTCCTGGAAGTTGTAGTTTTTCTCTTCAGATGGGGCTTTCCTTTAATCCTCAGCCCATTGTTCCGGCGCTCAAGAACTAAGGAGGCCGAATACCCAGGTGCCCCTTCCCTCAGACCCAGGAGTCTGGGCCCCCAGCTGCCCCCTCCCTCCCCCAGACCTAGATGGTTAGGCTCCCAACGCCCTCCTCTCTTAAGACCTAGGTATATGCCCCACGTACCCATAAAAATGGCCCCGCACAAACTCCTGGATTCGAGCCTTGCTCTGAGCATGGAGGTTCTGGAACTCATGCATGGCAGAAAACTTCTTCACATTCAGCCCATTGGGGGTCACAATATCTGGGATTGGGGGTGAGGGTCCCATGTTTTATTTGTTCATTCAATGTTGTGGTTGAATGAATACATGAAGAAAACACCCTTTGTTTGCCTTTTGCAATTTCTTTGTTTCAATAGCGTTCCTATGAGGTCCCCCCTCCTGCCTTTTTTTTTTTTTTTTTTTTTTTTTTGGAGACAGGGTTTCTCTCTGTCGCTCAGGCTGAAGAGCAGTGAGTGGCACAATCACAGCTCATAGCATCCCCGACCTCCTGGGGTCAAGCAATCCTCCCACCTCAGCCTCCCAAGTAGCTGGGACTACAGGCGTGTACTACCACACCCGGCTAATTTATTTATTTTGCTTTTGTAGTGATGGGGTCTTGTCATGTTGCCCAGGCTGGTCTCAAACTCCTGGCTTCAAACAGTCTTCCTGCCTTGGTCTCCTAAAGTGCTGGGATTACAGGTATGAACCACCATGCCCAGCTAATTTTTGTATTTTTGGTAGAGACAGGGTTTCACCTCATTGGCCAGGCTGGTCTTGAGCACACGATCTCAGGTGATCTGCCCACCTCAGCCTCCCAAAGTGCTGGGATTACAGATGTAAGCCACCGCTCCCAGCCAAGTTATGATTTTTCAACTTTATGATGGTGTGAAAGTTACACACATCCACGTGTCCAATTTTGGATGTTGATGAGATATTCAACACTTTATTTTTTGAGATGGAGTCTCACTCTGTCGTCCAGGCTGGAGTGCAGTGGTGTGATCTCAGCCCACTGCAACCTCTGCCTCCCAGGTTCAAGCAATTATCCTGCCTCAGCCTCCCGAGTAGCTGGGATTACTCCACACCCAGCTAATTTTTGTATTTTTAGTAGAGATGGAGTTTCGCCATGTTGGCCAGGCTGGTCTCGATCTCCTGACCTCCCCATCTGCCTGCCTCGGCCTCCCAAAGTGTTAGGATTACAGCTGTGAGCCACTGTGCCCGGCCTATTCAACACTTTATTATAAAATAGGTTTGTATTAAAATTAGCCAGGCGGGTGCCTGTAGTCCCAGCTACTCGGGAGGCTGAGGCAGAAGAATGGCATGAACCTGGGAGGCGGAGCTTGCAGTGAGCCGAGACAGTGCCACTGCACTCCAGCCTGGGCGACAGAGTGAGACTCTGTCTCAAAAATAATAAATAAATAAATAAATAAAAATAAAGTAGGTTTGTATTGGATGATTTTGCCCAGTTGTAGGCTAACATAAAGTGTTCTGGGTACATTGAAGGTATACTAGCCTAGGCTATGATGTTCACTAGGTTAGGTATATTAAATGCATTTTTTATTTTTTGAGACAGGGTCTCACTGTGTCACCCAGGCTGTGACAAGGTCTCTCTGGGCCACCCAAATCATGCAATGGCACGATCACAGCTCACTGCACCCTTGACCTCCTAGGCTCGAGCAATCCTCCCACCTCAGCCTCCTGAGTCGCTAGGGATACAAGCACACACCACAATGTCTGGCAAATTTTTTAGCCAGGGATTCGCCATGTTGCCCAGGCTGGTCTCAAATTTCCGGGCTCAAGTGATCCTCCTGCCTTGGCCTCTCAAAGTGCTAGGATTACAGGTATAAGCCACCATGCCCAGCCGAATACATTTTCGGTTTATGCTATTACAACTTACGGTGGGTTTCTTGGGATGATGAGCAACTGGCTTTGGCATAGACAGCTGCCTACCTCATTCATGTCTGGGGACTTCAGCCCAGCCCCTACCTGGTTTCCTCTTGAGCAAGTGCTGTGCCTCGATGGCAGTGATCTGGGACACAGTAGTGAAGACGTGAGCGCAGTGGGCTGCCGCCCTTTCCATGCAGTAGCGGTGATAGATCTGCCTCTCCCCTGCTTCCTTGTCCACGTTGAACTGGGTGGGAGGGGACAGCATTCAGGTTAGAAGGACTGGGGAGAAGAGTCTGGAGGTCCAGACACTGGGGTCCTAAGATAAATTGGTGCCTGGGGCTGGATTATTGGGTCTGAGGTAGGAAGGGTCTGGGGACTTGGACTCCTGGGTCCTGGGAGAAGAGGGGGCGCCATCCCCTTGGGCCCCCTGGAGCTTTGGGTTTCCCTGGCATACTCGCAGTCCCCCATCTGCCACGGTCCCAGCTCACGTTCTCCAGGTTGTTGTAGAAGTCCACAGCACCGGCACACAGGTAGCGCCCCAGCAGCGTGGCATGGGTGGTGAAAATGGTTGCTACAGGCAGTCGCCGGGCACGACACAGGCAGAGTCCAATGCCTGCCAACCACTCATGGAAGTGGGCAACCACGTGTGGCTTCTCCTCACTCTGCGCGAGGAACTGTGGGCAACAGGGACAGGGCTGCTGTCTCCACAAGTGTCAGGAAGAGAACTGGCAATCCCCAATAGGGACAAGCACTCGGGGAGAGGCAAATCTGTCACCACTACTGCACAGAGTGGGCAGCAGCCCACTGCAGCAATCCCGACCGGATGGGGACCTGTAAATCCCTGAGCTACCCCAGGCTGGTCTTGAACTCCCGGGCTCAAGTAATTGCCCCTCCAGGGGTTGACAAGAACTGAGGATCTTTTGGCCAGCCTTCTAAGTCCTGGCAGGGTAAGATTGGAAAGACCGAAGTTTTCACGTCCCTGGGTCCTGGACATAGTCCCTAAAGACCCCTTGTCTCAAGGGTATGCTGTCTGCACCCAACACTGGAAAAAGGACTACAACTCCCAGAATGCCATAGGAGCAGCCAGTTCCTGAATTATTTGTCCCAGGGCAAGGGAAATTAAGTTTTTTTTTCTCTCTCTGTCGCCCAGGCTGGAGCGCCGTGACACGATCTCAGCTCACTGCATTTCCCACCTCCAGGTTCAAGCAATTATCCTGTCTCAGCCTCCCAAGTAGCTGGGATTTGGGATTACAGGTGCCCACCACCATGCCCGACTAATTTTTTTTGTATTTTTAGTAGAGACGAGGTTCGGCCGTCTTGCACTCCTGGCCTCAAGTGATCTTCCCCCATCGGCCTCCCAAAGTGCTGGGATTACAGGCATGAGCCACCGCATCCAGCCTGGAAACTAAGCTTCTTGAGCCTTTTAAAACCTAGAAGGGGGTCAAAACCAGGTCAGTCTGGGGATTCATAAGCATCCAGGGCAGCATCTGAGCGCTGAGCCCAGCAATATCACACTAGAGAACTACAACTCCCAGAATTCCTCGGATAAGCCCGCCTGCCTCACTTTGAGCTAGAATCCCTACACTTGGAAGACTGGAGTAAATGAAGTTGGCATCGAGAGTAGAGCCTGGGCCCTGGATGTCCATGTCCCCAAAGGCCAGGGCTAATCCTTGGATTAAAGGACCCTATGGCTCCCAGAATGCCCAGGGAGAAACCCCAGCCTCTGGCCCAGCAGTTGATGGTCATTGTAGTTTCAGGTATGGGTGGAACGTGTCAGACGGGGCCTACCTCACCCAGGAACCAGGTGGTGAGAAAGCCAAAGAGGACAGCATCGTTGGCCTCGCGGTCGTACCACGGCACTCCGATGTTGCAGGTATCCCAGAGCTCTCCCTTCCAGCGCTCCAGGGCCCAGGCTGACGCCCCCACATCCAGGAGCACCACCAGAGGGCCTCCCTCGATCAACCAGCGCCCAAAATACACCTGGAAGGGGGTGGGGTGGGCACCATAGGGAGGCTCAGGGCTTCAACCTCACATATGTGTGCATCTGTGGTTCTTCCATTTGCAGGCAGATGTCTAGACTTAAGCCTCAGCTCCCTTACCTTCTGTTTCCGTATCTGCTGCTAATTTCTCACCTGCTGCCTTAGCTTTATTTTTCTATTTGCATGATTTATTCCTGCCACACATTTTTTCCATCTCTGTTGCAATATTTTCCCTGCCCCTTGCTTACTTTCTTTCTTTCTTTTTTTTTGAGATGGAGTCTTGCTCTGTGGCCCAGGCTGGAGTGCAGTGGCGCAATCTCAGCTCACTGCAACCTCCGCCTCCTGGGTTGAAGCAATTCTCCTGCCTTAGCCTCCCAAGTAGCTGGGATTACAGGCACCCACCCCAACACCTGGCTAATTTTTTGTATTTTTAGTAGAGATGGAGTTTCACCATGTTGGCCAGGCTGGTATCAAACTCCTGACCTCAAGTGATCTGCCCTCCTTGGCCTCCCAAAGTGTTGGGATCACAGGCTTGAGCCACCGCGCCCAGCGTCATCTTTAATTTCTTTTTTTTTCCTTTTTTTTTTTTTTTTGAGGTGGAGTCTCGCTCTGTCACCCAGGCTGGAGTGCAGTGGCATGATCTCGGCTCACTGCAACCTCCACCTCCCAGGTTCAAGCGATTCTCCTGCCTCAGCCTCCCAAGTAGCTGGGACTACAGGCACCCGCCACCTGCCTGGCTAATTTTTTTTTTGTATTTTTAGTAGAGACAGGGTTTCACCATGTTAGCCAGGATATTCTCGATCTCCTGACCTTGTGATCTGCCCGCCTCGGCCTCCCAAAGTGCTGGGATTACAAGCATGAGCCACCACACCCAGTTTAATTCCTGTTTAATTCC